GGTGGACAGGCCCTACTTTAGTTGAAGATCAAGGAGATCTTTCTGCTGAAGTAACATTTCCGCTAAGACCTGGATGACAGAAAGGAGACAGCGTTGGGTAAATCAGAGAGTTAGGCCATCCAGGCAGAGGGCAAAAGAAGTGCCAATGACCTGAATGAGCGAGATTCCAGACAATATCATTTGAGCATCTGGATCCAATCATGTCAGAAGCTGAACATTTTCTGTGACATGAACTAATTGTTTGATTGTTGTTATTAAATGAGTTTCAGTTGGGTTTCTGGGCATGGTAGCATGTGCCTGTAATCCAAGCTACTCAGGAACATGGGAGGATTGCTTGAGACCAGGAGATCAAGACCAGCCTGGGAAACAGAGTAAGACCCCATCTTTTTGAAACTTTCTGCAACTCACACCTGGAAAAGTGCTGTTATTTGAAAGGGAACTGACATTTTGAAAAACATGGAGTACCTATCTCTGAAGCTGAGATTTTTGTCCTAAAGGTAAAGGGAAATTAGTGAAGGGTTTTGTTTGTTTGTTTTGTTTTGTTTTTTGAGACAGAGTCTTGCTCTGTCGCCAGGTGCCAGGTTGCAGTGCCAGGGCACAATCTCGGCTCACTGCAATCTCCACCTCCTGGGTTCAAGCAATTCTCCTGCCTCAGTCTCCCGAGTAGCCGGGACTACAGGCGTGTGCCACCACGCCCAGCTAATTTTTGTATTTTTTAGTAGAGACGGGATTTTACCATTTTGGCGAGGATGGTCTCAATCTCTCGACCTCGTGATCCGCCCGCCTCAGCCTCCCAAAGTGCTGGGATTACAGGCCTGAGCCACTGTGCTGGCCTATTGAAGATTTTTAAACCAGGGAAGAATCTTCCTGATCTTTGTTCTTTTTCTCTCTCTAGGCTCATATCTCAAATGTCCTAACCTTCCCTCCCCTTCCTTCAGTCTCTGTGCTTCATCCCTAATGAACTTGTCTGCTGTCAGTTCCCTTCGGAACCTCCTGCTCTTAGCACATGCTCTTCTTCTTCTTTTTCTTTTTCTTTTTCTTTTTTTTTTGAGACAGAAACTTGTGCTGTTGCCAGGCTGGAGTGCAGTGGTGCGATCTTGGCTCACTGCAACCTCCAACTTAAACCTCACAGGTTCAAGTGATTCTCCTGCCCCAGCCTCCTGAGTAGCTGAGACCACAGGTGCATGCCATGATACCCAGCTAATTTTTGTATTTTTAGTAGAGATGGAGTTTCACTACATTGGCCAGGATGGTCTCCATCTCTTGACCTCGTGATCTGCCCACCTCGGCCTCCCAAAGTGCTGGGATTACAGGCTTGAGCCACCGCACCCGGCCCATGCCGTTCTTTTTTGAGACACTGTTCCCTACCTTCCTTCTCCTAACTAACTTAGCCTAGGCATCAACTTAGATATCACTTCCTTCACCAACCCCCCCAAGTCTGGGTCCATTTCCCAATGCCCCAGGATTCTTTT